CTGAACAACAACAACAAAAATGCCTTGGGCCCAGCCCCAGTCCCCTTCCCCCCCCTGGAAATTGGAAAGTCTACGCCCTTGGTAGGAGGGCTTCTGGTGGACCTCCTGAGGGCACCTGGGTTTTGTCCAGTGTTTCCTCTAAGTGCAAGCTAGCTAACAGTTTTTTAGCCCCCGGCTCATACATTTTTGTCTTAATTCAGGAAAGATGCCTCCAGAGCAAACTAAGTTATGCAGCAGCCAAATTGCTCACCCATAACTTTAATGCCAGTCGCTCACAAAGGAGCATATCGGGATAGGCCTCTGGCCCCATCCCTATTGAAGCAGCCCACCTATAGAGCACAACAAGGAAAGGAATGAAGGAAGCTACTTCTTTTATATTTGTATGAATATAATTAGTATATATTGATTATAAACATCTGTTCTCTTCTCCCCAGTAGGGACCCCAGTAGCCTATTTTTGTTATATTTATTATTAATTTACTTAATTAATTTATCCCCTACTTTTCTCCTCAATGGGGGCCCAAAGTAGCTTACATCATTCTCCTTCCCCCATTTTGTGAGATAGGTTAGGCTGAGAAAGTGTAACAGGCCCAAGGTCACCCAGCAAGCCTGAGTGGGGATTTGAACCTGGGTATTCCAGATTTTAAATTCTCCTGCGGCCTGCCCAGTAATCTATTCAGAAATTTTATTTGGGACTTGAATGGAACTAAGTGAGGCTGAGGAGAGAAATGCCTGAAGTAACAGAGGGCAGTGAGGTAAGGGGGAGGCTTTATGTCCCTTTACCTGTGCTCTCTTTTTCATGTAAGAATCAGATTCTAAACAGGCACACACAGATACAGAGAGAGAGAGAGAGAGAGAGAGCGCTTTAGATGAGAATGGGGAAGGCAAACACAGGTGTCCATCCTGATTGTGGCTGAATATTCCTTATTCCATTCCATACTTGTTCTGTGGCTTTGTTCTGGTCCCCGTTCTTCCAAGGATGTGCTGTGAATGTTTCATGAATTTGGTTTGTGTCAAAATGTGCACAATGTATATTTTTTAATGTTCTATAGGTTAGATCAGGGCTTTTTTTGTAGAAAAAGTCCAGCAGGAACTCATTCGCATAATAGGCCACACCCAACAGTAGAGACTCATTAGCCTATTAGGCCACACCCCTGATGGCAAGCTCATTAGCATATTAGGCCACACCCCCATGCCTTCCTTTGGCTTGCCTGGGCACCCCACGGCTGTGAGGAGCCCGGACAAGCACCCCCCCTTGGAGGGGAGGGGAGGCAATTTAAACTGCCTTCCCTTGGCTTGCTCGGGCACCCTGTGGCTGGGGGGAGTCTGGGCAAGCCAGCCTTTGGACAGGCCGGGAAAGGCACGGGGAGGTGTTTAAATGCCTCCCCGATCCTTCCAGGCCCCCCCTGGCCCCCCGCCTTGGAGCTGCTGGGGGGTCACTTTCCAGGCCTTCCCTCTGTAGCCACGCATGCAGAGGTTTTGGTTGTAGTGGGCGTGGCCAACTGAAGCCAGCCGGAACTCCGTTCCTGTGCGTTCCTGCCCAAAAATAGCCCTGGGTTGGATCCACATTCAGTTTTCCACTGACGGAAAGCATTTCCATACATAGAACAGAACTTTCCTGCCTTTGCCCTCTGCTACAGTCCCTTGATCTCCCCAAAATGCTGCTTCTGTGGAAGAGGAGAACTTGAGGAATGGCATATGGAGCCTGCAGCGGGAAGGGAGAAAGGGATGGAAATTAAACCTCCCCTTCCATATATCTTGGTAGATCTTACAATCTGCATTTGCCTAACAATAATACCTGACGAAAGAATATCTAATATCTGAGTGTGTGTGTGTGAGGAATGTACCTAGACTATACAGTGAAAAAGAGCAAAGAGGATCCTCATACAATTCTGTTCCATAGCAGAGACCTCCAACTAGAAAGGTCTGTTCCAGGGAGAATTCCTGTCAAGGAGGAATTTAGAAAAACCCGTAGTTTAGTTGGGCCCTGTGTAACAGGGAATTCAAGTGCAAGATCTTGTTGTAGCTAAGGCCATTTTCTGCTTGTACTGTGTCTGGTTGGAGAAGGGGGGAGCTCTTTTCCCGTTTTGATTCAACAGGATAGGAGGGTTTTCCTGCTCTAGATCCTATATCTTTCTAAGCATGTGGGGGAAATATGGACAGAGTCTACATTCTGGTCCCTGTAGTATTCATTTAAAACATTTATTAGCTGCCTTTCTACCTTGCCGAACTCAAGGCAGCTTACAGTATAAATAAAACAGTGTGTGTGTGTGTGTGTGTGTGTGTGTGTGTGTGTGTGTGTGTAAGACCACAATTTAAAATTCATTTACTTATTTTACTTATATCCTGCTTTTCTCCGCAATGGGAACTCAAACTGGCTTACATAGTTCTCTCCTCCATTTTATCCTCACAACAACTCTGTGAGGAAGATAAGGCTGGGAGTGTGTGACTGGCCCAAGGTCACCCAGCAAGCCTCCATAGCACAAGTAGGGATTTGAACCCAGATTTCCCAGATCCTAGTCCAACACTTTAACCACTACACCACTCTGGCTCTCCAATGAGGAGAGCTAACCTCCCATTAGGAGGTTTTAAATATAATCATCCTCCAATGGCCGTCCAGCCAAAGGAACTTCACTCCAACATAAGTGGCTTTTCTATTGGTGAATAGCCACTTAAACTGAAGGAAGGCTCCTTAGGATGGAGGGAGGCTTCAGACTTGGCTCAGTGGAGTGGGAGGACCCCACTGTGGAGTAGGATCAGTGGAATAGGATCCACCCCACTGTTTGCAAGGACCCCACTCTACAATCTGTCTCCTTGTGTAGAGGGAAACAGGAAGGGATGTTCAGGTCCCTCTGGGGACCAGACAGAATCAGCCTCTGTGGTTTTAAGATTGTACCATACAGGGAGACAGTATGGGTTTAGCTGTTTGATTCAATCTTGCTTCTTTGTACAAGGCAGCTGCCCAGCTGGAATAAATTGCTATCAATTCAGTGCATGACATTAAACCAATTAAAATCGACATATGTTTGCACAGAACTACAGTGATAGTCAAAAAAGCATACTTGATCTGTCTGTGTGTTGCCCCATGAGTGGAGCCATCTCCTCCTGGGCAAGCAGGACAGGGGACTAGTTCTCAAAAGATTGCACTTTTAACCTACAATTAAATTAAAAAGAAAAAAGAAATATGTTAATTGATTATTCAGGACCACCCTTTTTGTTGGTCAAAAGATGTAACCAATTGACAGTGTTGTACCCTAATATGTGCCCTGGGTTGATTCTCCTTTCTATTTAGGGTTTGTGATCAATTTACCTTTGACCCCTTGATCTCAGTCATACACTTAGTAGTTGTAAGCATTCTTTTAAGTAGTAGTCAGAGGTGAGCCCGCTCGCGGGGTGGGCAGGGTATAAATATAATGAAATAAATAAATGAACCAGAATCTGTTCCATTTTTTAGTTCTGTTCTTCCTCCAATGAGCTCTGGGCAGTGTTCATGATTCTCTGCATTTTAATAAGCACAACAACCATGCTAGGTAGATTTGGATCTGAGTCTCTCCAGCCCTCATCCACGAATCCATTGCACTATACCTCACTGATCGTTAAGCCCAGCAAATGACTTCCTGACAAATGAGTCCCTTTATCAGCCAGAGCTGAGCATTTTCAGTAAGTTAAGGGCAGTGGGTCAATTCAACTGAAACCTTTTTTACTATAAATACTTTAATTGATAAAAAATTTAACACAGTCCTATGGTAAGGAAAGCTGGTGGCTACCAAGAGTTTGGCAGCAAACTGATAGTGCCATTCTAAGCACAGCTATGCCTGTCTAAGCCCACTTGCATTAGTGGACTTAGAAGGGTATAACCTTGCTTAGGGTGGCACTGTGGGATGTTCACACAGTAAAATCCAGTTGGAAAGTACACTGAAAGTGGATTGAAAGTGCATTATTTAGTGTGTATGATCACAGCATTATTTGTCTGGAAGGACTTCACTTATGAGGACAAAGTTTCTTTGGGTATGACCTTACTGTATTGAAAATCCTTTTGGAGGGGAGTAGGTAGGATATAAGGGACTTCTGCTTTTGTTGGCTTTCAAGCAAAATGCTTTGCAAACCCAGGGCTTAGTAACAAGAGGCCTTGCAGAGAGTTACAGAGTACACAACATCAAAATTTTGGAATAAAACAGGCCGCAGCATTTATTGATTACAGACCAAAGAGCATTGGCAAAGCACAGGGGTGGATCCTAAAATCGAGCAACCTGCCTGCTGCTCGATAAGATGTTCCACAGCCCACCTGCAGGAGAAAACCCGAAAGCGACACAAGGGTGGCTGCCACTGAGTGGTACTGTTTGTCACCTGGGGTAAGCCTGGGCACAGCCCCCAAGCTGGGCATACCACATAGTGGCTCAGCCCCCAGGCCCATTAAGGGAGTGCCCAGATGGTGGAGGTGGACACGCAGGCCCATTTCCATAAAAGGATCCACCCAGATGCACAAAACTGCCAAGCTTTGACAGTTAAAGTATACAGATACCGACAAGGGGAGGGAGGGTGGGGATCCAGAAAACCACGCTGCTGGAGCCACCAGGCAGCATGGCAGACTCTATGTCATCCTTGTGTCGAGCCCGCTGAAAAGATGATGTGGGGCCAACCAGTGCAGTGGCCTGAGGCTCCTACCTTTGCTGACCATTAGGCAGAGGGTAGAAAAAGCCTCCTCCAGACCCCTCTGAAGCCCATGCTGCAATCAGGCCATTTTAAGGTGAGTCTCAGCCGTGTTTGGGAAGAGTGAAGATGGTGGACTTTTGAGCATATTCAAACTGGGTCGTACCCAGGTTTATTCTCTAGGAACATAACATGGTTTTATTCCTTCGCAGGGCTACCACAGATCCAACCACTTCATAGCCACCCAAGGTATGAATCTTTGCTCTGGGACCAAATGTTCATTAATTTAGGAGTGCTGATGTTTAGAGCAGGGGGGTTCTGAACAGTAGTACCACAACTCTTTCCAGGAAGGCCCACCAAGCTGCGTGTTTCTCTAGTTTTCAGCACCATGTCATTTTTTAAAAAACAGTTTGTAGGCGGGTAGTTATGGGAGTGCATTCTACCAGCTTTTCTTCTGGTCAAAGGGGGATGACCACCAAGAATGAACTGTTGGTGATTATGGGACCCATGTGTGTTAGGAGATCTGACTTTCCTTGCATGTGTTTCCCCCCCCCCCCCAAATATTCATGGGGTTAATTAAGACTTGTATCTATTTTTTATTCTTACCTAATAAAAAGAGGTGTTCCTTTTTTCGCAATAAAAGTTTAACTCACTGAAAGTTCCTGTCCAGTTTTCTGATGCTCAGACCCCTCAATTTATCGTACTATTTAACATAAGTTCTCCCTCAGTGGGTTTTTTATCTGACAGAGGTCCTGCAAGGTGTCTGTGGCCACTTAGCTAAAGAAAATAATTTAACAAGCTAATTGGTTCAGACTCCTTAATAAGGTATGAGACAATTGTCTTATTACACAAGGACAAAAGCCATGTGGAACCTGACCTGCAGTGAACAAGGGAACCGGGCAAGATGGAGTGGAAAAGCTGGTGGGATACAAGCCACCAGAATGATCTGTTCTCGTTCTGGCTTTGAATGATGAGTTGATTCTTAACAATGATTTTTATGATTTTTTAAAAAATGTACACTTTCCTTGAGCACCTATCTCGAATTACATTTCAGAGTTGTAACTAGACTGGAAAGGTAGATATGCCCTTGTTTGGAGATATGTGCATAGCATACTGAATAGAGTTGCCAGCTTCGGGTTGGGAAATACCTGGAGATTTTGAGGGTGGAGCCTGAGGAAGGCAGGGTTTGGGGATGGGAGGGACTTCAGTGGGTTATACTGCCATCGAGTCCACCTTCCAAAGCTGCCATTTTCTCCAGATGAACTGATCTCTGTCGCCTGGATATCAGCTGTAATCCCAGGAGATCTCCAGCCACCACCTGGAGTTTGGCAGTCCCAGTACTGAATGAGCTCTGAGGCTACATCCAGATATCAGCGTCCCGCACTCTGGGGTGCATGACTACCAATGCGATCTTATGCTGAGTTACACCATTGTAAGCCCCACTGAAATCAAGTCTGCATAGGATTACAATGCAAGCAGACTGGCTGCTAGTCTGAATTAATAGCCATTGGGACATTTTAAAAAAAGACAAAGTTGAGTGGGATGATGATGATTTTAGGAAATGTATATGCTGCCTCTCTGGAGAACTCCTTGGAGCAGCTCACAGCTACAACAGTACAATAAAACCACACATCCATTAAAATCATGCCCTTGTAGTCAAGTCAGAGCATATGAACAAGCCACTAAAAACAAGCCATAACATAAAAACAGCATAAAACATAAGAAGAAAATCCGCAGACTACAGCAAAACATAGAAATAGTTTTAAAAGCCTTTTGTTTAAGTTAAAAGTTAAAAAGAAATGTTTTGGTGTAAGTTGTTTCTAGAGCAAATCAAGGCTGAATTTTCCCTAGAAGTTAAAATGACTAAACTGAGGTTGTTGTACTTTGGTCACATCACGAGAAGATGAGAATCACTGGAGCTTACAATTGTGCTAGGAAAAGTTGATGGCAATAGGGAAATGGGCCCAGCATGAGAAGGATTGACTCAATGAAAGCAGCCACGGTCCTCAATTTGCAAGACTTGAGCAAGGCTATAAACGATAGGATGTTTTGGAGGTCATTAATTTATAGGGTTGCCGGAAGTTGGAAGTGACCTGACAGCACATAACACACACAAAAGAGGCTAGGGTAGGCACATAAAATCCTGTTGTGATTGTTGTGAACACTCTGCTATGTCCTTGTGTTTCCTTTTGTTGCTTTCTCTGTGGTGACTCAGTGTTGTCCCTCTTTATGTTCCAGGTCCTAAACAGGAGATGATCTATGATTTCTGGCGGATGGTGTGGCAGGAACACTGTTCCAGTATAGTGATGATAACAAAACTGGTGGAGGTGGGAAGGGTAAGAGGTTCATTTTCTTCCTTCAGTGGCTCTGAAAGAATATGCTTTGCTGCCCAGGTGAACACCTTGACCTCTTTTGTCACTGCAGGTGAAGTGCTCCAAGTATTGGCCAGACGACTCTGAGATGTATGGAGATATTAAAATTACCCAGGTGAATTTGGAGACACTGGCAGAATATATCGTGAGAACATTCACACTGGAGAGGGTAAGCTCTTCCGAATGCGGGCCCAGTCCTGTTTGCACTTGGGTTGTTAACTTATACTGTGAGATGTTACATTGGCCAAAATTTTTCCATGATGGGCAATAGTTTGTGCATGAGGTCTGTTTCACTGATGTCTGCTGGAACTGTTCATAATAATTAAGTGCCATCAAGTCTCAATCAACTTATGATGACACCTCATGGGGTTTTCAAGGCAAGAGATAAGCAGAGGTGGTTGGCCATTGCCTTCCTCTCCATAGCAGCCCCAGTCTTCCTTGATGGTCTCCCATCCAAGTACTAAACATGGCCAACCCTGCCTAGCTCCCAAGTGATAATGAACAACCTAGTCTGGGCTATGAGGGCAGCTAGTGATAACAACCAAGTGCCATCAACTTGTGGCAACCCCTCATGGGATTTTCAAGGTAAGATGAGCCGAGGTGGTTTGTGGTTGCCTTTCTCTCCATAGCAACTTGGGACTTCCTTGGTGGTCTCTCATACAAGTACTTTGCTGTAACTAGCAGCATGAATAGCTCAAATTAGCCCGAGCTCTAATTTGAGCTATTCAGGCTGCTAGTTACAGCAGTACTTGAGCTAAAATAACCTCTTTCCTGGAATCATGTGGAATGCTTATGTTCAATGCTTTCCCTGATATTTGGGGGGACAGTATAGAAACGTTGATCTTTAGACCAAATGCTGAAGGACCAGTTGCTCTTGTAGAAGTCTACGTATCACTAGAGAGGTGGAGGACAAAGCCATATTTCATGTGCCTCCACTAAGAGTAAGAACAGGACCTACTCAGACCTTTGAATCTGGAACTCCCGCTTCACAGCAGTGCTAAGCGTACCAAGTTTTAGATGACATGCTAAGACTTTCCTTTTTTATTCAGAATTTTGGTTGATTTTTTTGTTTGTTTGTTTCTGCCCTCTGCCTTTGACTGCTCTGTTCCCTTGCTCTAATGGCTGCTCTTCAGTGTTAGTTGCGTCTCAGTAAATCTGCTTTATACATTTTATATCCATACACATTACATATATAGATGATGTACCATATGCTTCTGCAATATGTGCATATGTGTAACCCTGGCTGTGTTCAGATGGCAGTAAACCTCTGTTTGTCCACAGTGGAGAATGTCTGCAGTTCTTGCGTGTTCCCCGCATTCTCCTTCCATGTGCTGAATATGATTTGGGAATTTGTCATTTGCTGCAACATCCAAACACAGGTGCTTGGGCATGTGTGCCCCCCCCCACCCCCAAGCAGATTTTCAAACTGGTTTAAAAATCCCATTTTGGGGAGAAAATACTGACTCGGGTAGGCTTAGGCACCTGTATTTTGACATTATGCAAACTGGAGTTTGGTTGAAAGGCTTTCCAAAACAGACAAACAAAAAGCTTTAACTGTGCTCCATACACAAGGCCTAACATTCCCCCTAACAGAAGGGGTTTTCATCTGCAGAGGCTCCACTTCCCTCCCCCCCCCCCACCTCTGTAGATGGAAATGCCTCCCAAAATGCTGCTTTTGGGGAATGGGGGGGACATTCAGGAATAGTTGGGAGTAGAGTCAGAGGTCTGACGCAGGAGGATTGAATTGGTGAAAAAAATTAGGTGAGATCCAAGGCAAACAGAAGAATAGGGTTTTGAGGCAGTGCCTGGCAACCAGAGGAACAATTGTGGGTGTCACAATGCTGATGGTGGTGGTGCATCACTTCTAGTAAGAAAACGGAAGTGACATGCGGTTGCTCTTGGTTTCACTGGAAACTTTATGGTAGAGTTTCCGGTGATTCCTATAGCTACCCTATATCACTTCCAGAGGATCTCTTGGCAGCCTTGGGGAGGAAGGAGAGAAAAAAAACAGCACAGAAAACAACCTGTGTTCATGACTGCCATAAATAGAGAGTCGTCTTGACACTTTTTCTCTTTTACAAGCTGGAAAGATTTTGTTTTGTCTCTTTCAACTTTTTGTATTCTGTAATCAAAACCACCCATTAATTGGCCTTCAGCGTTCATCCTGAAATCCGCCTTTGCTAACCTGGCTCTTCTACCATCTGAGACTTCAAATACTTCACAAAAGACATTCTCTTAGTGAATACTGCAGAGCAGGCCTTTATTTATGTGGTCATTCTTGATCGTTTAATTTCAGGCTAAGCGCCATGTAATTGCCCAGGGAATGGACAATTATTTCCATCTTTGAGACGGGAGTTGAAAGCTTCATGGCAATTATTGAACAGTACTGTATCTTGGGACATCACAACTGTAATTCACCCCCCTAATCTTGAGAAACGTTAAATCACAGCCTTGTTACGAGTGAAGTACCCAGGAGCCTTGGGGATCTAGTTACCTCGTAATCATTTCGAGGCATTTTGCTACAGCTCTCTAGGCTTCGATGGAAGGGCCTCCTAATCAGGGATCTGGGAGTTCAGCACCAAGAAACAGCAAACCTAATAATGAGGAAACCTAAAAACATTTTCAACCAGCATTTCAGCTCTGCAAAGGTGTATTAAGGGATATAGAGTCAAATGCATATATATAGCAAGTGGACTTATACCAAGTCCGACCCTTGGTCTGTCAAAGTCAGTATTGTCTACTCTGACTGGCAGCCACTCTCCAGGGACTCAGGCAGAGGTCTTTCACATCACCACCTGACTGATTCTCTTAAGTGGAGATGCTGGGGATTGAACCTGGGACCTTCTGCATGCTGATCAGATGTTCTGCCTCTGAGCCACTGCCCCACCCCTCACTATGAATCTGCCTTGCTCTGACTGGCAGAGGCTCTTTAGGATCTCCAATCTTTCACACCAGCTACTACCTGAGAGCCGTTTAAGTGGATGCCATGGATTGAACCTGCGACCTTCTGTATGCCGATCAGATGCTTTAAGAACCACACCTTTATCCTCAGGAATTCTCACATGATCACACAAAGCTGTCTTATACACAATAAAACCCTCAGTCTGTTATATTTCCTTATTTATTTACTTCATTTATACCACACTTTTCTCTACAACGGGGATGCAAAATGGTTTACATTGTTCTCCATTTTACCCTAACAACAACCCTGTGAGGTAGGTTAGCCTGAAAGCGTGTGACTGGCCCAAGGTCACCCAGCGAGCTTCCATGGCAGAGTAGGGGATCAAACCTGGGTCTCCCAGATCCTAATCCAACACTCTAACCCCTGCACCACTCTGGCTCTTTAAGGCCAGTATCACATATTCTGACAGGCATTGGCTCTGCAGGGTCACAGATGGAGATCATTCACATCCCCTGCCACCTGATCCTTTTCAGGAGAAAGCTGATGCCGTACCACAGAGGCATTGAGGCACAACCCCTCCGTGAGAACAGATGTAGCAGAAAAGGGGACAACCAGTCCAGCTTTGCCATTGAAATAATAGACACAGATACCAGCAATTCAATTCCTGGCCCAGATGGGCAGTCTTCACTCTGTCATCTCACTTCAAGCGGGCTGCCTGAGTCTTAAAAGCTCTGCATGGACATTCATGCAAAATATATATATACAACAACAACAACAACAAATACCTTTTATTGGCATAAAATATTAAACAGTTGCCATTGGGGTAATATATATATATATATATATTTATTAGCCATCTTCTCCACAGATCCCTTGGCTTCTCCAGTTTGAAAGGATCTCAGGTTGGCGAGGCTGGGAAGAACCTTGGAGAGCTTTTGCTGATCAACAAAAGCAGTTGGGATACATCGGTAGTCTAAGTCAGGATAAGTCTGGCAGCTTTGGGCACCATGGCGCTGACCTGTGGACAATCAGGAGACTGCTGGAGCCCCCGGCTTTCCATTGCAAGGCACCCTATGTCACAGCCTGTCTCCGCTTTTCATCGCTATTTATTTAACAATTGAAATATGGTACAAAGCAATACAAACTAGGCAACAGAAACAATACAAACAATGCAGTACAAATTACGCAATACGAACATACAAACAATACAAGCACGACAGTACAAACTAGGCAATGCAAACAATAAAAGCAATACAGTATGAACAAGAAATACAACACAAACAAGCAAATCAAACTTGTATCGAAGCAATACAAACTAAATCGGCATCACGCTGACCTCCACCTCACAAGCCAAGTGGGCTAACTCTGTCCTTGTCTTCCCCCTTTGTCCTTGTCTTTTGCAGAGAGGCTATTCTGCAAGGCATGAGGTGAAGCAGTTCCACTTCACATCATGGCCAGAACATGGGGTGCCTTACCATGCCACTGGGCTCCTGGCATTCATTCGCAGAGTGAAGGCTTCTACGCCTCCTGATGCAGGACCCATTGTTATCCACTGCAGGTAAGAACTAAGACTGGAAAAGAGTGATCTTCATTGTGAACAGTATCCTCTGCAGCTGTGTCCCACAGGGTGAAAACCTGAAACTCTCTTATAATGGCCCGATATAATGTAGTAGCCTACTACTATAGCTCTACCACATGAAGTGGTAGTAGCCCTAAATAGTAGCCCTAAATATAGTGGTGGTGGAACGTGCCATCAAGTCACAGCCAACTTATGGTGACCTCATAGGGTTTTTCAGGCAACAGAGGTGATTTGTCATTGCTTGCCTCTGTGTAGCAACCCTGGACTTCCTTGGTGGTCACCCATCCAAGTACTAACTAGACTGTCCCTGCTTAGCTTCTGAGATCTGATGAGATTGGGCTAGCCTTGGTCATCTAGGTCAGGGAATATAGTATAGTAGCCTACTACTATAGCCCTATTACGTGAAGCTCTCTTATAGTAGAACCATCACTATAGTTCTGCTGTAGTTCCCAAGTTACATTGAACACATGGACAATGTCCACTTGATTTTCCTTTATATGTGGGCTGAATAATTCTCGTGTTCCGTTCAACACATTAACAGCTCACGCCCACATTTATCCAGGTATTGGACCCTGGTTTCATTTGTTAAGTGAACATGCGTTGGCTCTTTCTTACAAACAAAGGTACGCATTTAGAGGCAGGATGCATTTGCATTCACTGTCACAGGGCTTCTGCATCAAACCATTGGTCTATCAAGGTCAATATTGTTTACTCTGACTGGCAGCTGCTCTCCAGAGTCTCAGGTTGAGATCTTTCCCATCATCTCCCCTTTTAACTGGAGGTGCCGGGGATTCAACCTGGGACATATGGATGTATGGACATATGAAGGTGCCATATACTGAATCAGATCTTTGGTCCCGCAAGGTCAGAATTGTCTACTCAAACTGGCTTTCCGGGATCTCAGGCAGAGGTCTTTCACACTGCCTATGTTTCACCATAGATGGTGAAAGATGGTGGAGACTGAACCTGGGACCCTTTGCATGCAAAGGAAATGCTCTTCCATTGAGCTACATTCACTTACCTGGTGGGTCTCAGGAAGTATCCCAGCTCTCACTGCTGAAAAGGGATGTGGTACACTTACTGGAAAGCTTTGGGAGGTGGCAACAGAAGTGCTAGAACAGCCATTGAACACAAGCTGGCAGAATTTGATGCTAACCAATGATGTCATGACAGCACCCATGGTGGATATGGTAAACCACTCAAAAGCTGCATTCCTGCAAGATGCTGTAGCTGTGGGCCCAACACAATTGGCCTCTCCTGGTGCTTGCTGGTAATGACATCACATCCCCTTCAGCGATACACCATGCTTATCCTCTGCTGTCCAAATATCAGTTTGCCTCCTTTGAAATGAGTCTGTAGACCATTCTAAATAATATCCAAGTCCAAAATAGTACCTGTCTGTTAGGAATTGTGCACGGTACTCCCCATGACATTTTGAGACAATTGAGTTCAGGGATGACAATCCTTACTTTGGAATGAAAGTTGATGGGACCCATCACTAGACTAAATGATCTTATCTATCAGAAAATCAAGGACTTAATCCAGGAGAGCAATTTACAAATAGTTCTTTTAAATGGTGACTCAAAAAACTCCCAGAACCAAACAGGATCTTGGCTTCATCTTTAAGCTGCCAAAACTCACTCACACACACACAAGATATCTCTATTCAAGGTGACTTTTTGGCATTATTTAATTCTAAGACAGTACCATGCTATGCTATGATTAAGCTTAATCATGGGTTTCAGTCTTATTTATCAGATCTGGATAAACTCCCTTAAAAAGAAAAAAAAAGCTTCCATCCTGCTTAGCTTATAGCAAATGCCATCCCAAGACTCAAATGAGTGATATCAGAACTTTGCTTTTAACCTTGAAGTCAAACCAAACCATGATATGATCTTGAGTAAAAAAAAATTATTGGTAAAAAGTGGCTAAAAGAGGGATTTTTTAAAAAGCTCTTTTCCCTTACCACTTAGCTTTGCTAATCAAAATAGAGCTCCCCACACTGTTATTAGTGTTGTAAAATGGGAGACATACCCTTTTTACCTCAATAGAACTAATAAAAGGATGGTGTCCTGGTTTCGGTATAGCCTTTAACCCTATCGGAACACTGATACAAGCATGGGCAGCATGGTTTCGACTAGTCAGATCATGCTGAAACTGAAGGGTTAAATCTCCTCTTTCCATTCCACTCGGACCCAAACCATCTCAGTTGTATGCACATACAATTTACCTTCTACAAACAGATGGAAATTTGTGATCCTCTGCCCATCTGTTCTGACATTGGTAAGAAGGAAGTGGGAGAGGATATAATTTGAAATATGCCATATATCTCCATCTCTGAAAGTGTGCAGTAAAAAGTGGGCCCAGGGCCTCAAATCCACAAAAACTGGAACGTTTGTAGGTGCACCTTGATATGGATGTCATACTGAAAATGGCCCATTTTGCCCAGCAGCCAAGAAATGCCTTCAAAGTTAGCTTGAGATCCCACCCACTGCCATATTTAACAAGAGCTTATCTTGGGATCATTTGGTTCAGAACACAGGTAGCTCAGGCTCAGATGTATTCATGTAATATTTATCATTGAAATATAAAAAACTATAAATTGGATCCAATTTATAAGGACTCCGGCCATGAAAGCCTTTGACAACATACATACAGCCCGGAAAATCTACAACAACTTATAAATTGGATCCATTAAAAAAAGGACAGTTGAGGTAGGTAAAGGAGCTAATAGTTTATGGCTCAGGCACAGGGGCTATGTGTCTGTGCCATAACCTTCAAAAGTTATTATGGAGACAGGACAGGACAGAGGGATGAGGCAGCAGATGCTTGAAACCGAGGAGGGAGCAGGCAAATCATATGCATTTCAGGTTTATTTATTTAAGACATTTTTATATCACCTTTCCCCCCAATTAGGGCCCTCAAGGCAGCCAACAAGGTAAAGAGATTAAAAATAAACTGTTAAAATGCTTTTTTCTTGCTGTTATTCCATCAAACCGCAGCCAGCTTGCAGCAACCCGATAGAGTTTTCAAGGCAAGTGGTGGTTTGCCATTGCCTGCTCTGCATAGTGACCCTGGACTTCCTTGATGGTTTCCAATCCAGGTATTGACCAACACCAACTGTGCTTAGCTTCCAAGTTCTGACAAGATCAGGCTAGCTGGTGCTATCTATTAAATTAAACAAATGAAGAGGAGGATCAGTAAGGGTATGGCAGGCAAAACAGAAGACAATAATCAGAAGACAACAATTGAAGGGAACAAATGAATCTCCCTGGGGAGGGAATTCCACATTTTTGGTGGCATGATTGAGAAGGCCCTTTTTTGAGTTGCCATTAGGGATGGGCATGAACCGAGAAACGAACTGTGGTTCGAGCATGAACCAGGCCAGTTTGTGGTTCATATCGAACTGGTTTATTTGGTCGCACCATTCCTGAATCCAAAAATGAATTGTCTTTTTCCCATGGAGGTTCATTTGGTTCATTAGAGTTGTTTGTTCTCCAGACAGCCTGGTGACGATTCAGTTAATTCCTAGGCAGTGGACTTGTGGAGACCACTAGAAACACCCATAGCAGTTGTCCATAGCTTTATTGGCAGCTCTGGGAGCCAACCACGGAGCTCCCATTCTGCTCTATGGGAGCAGATTTTATATCCTGGGGGCACCTGCTTTGGTGGGCTGTAACTCAGACATCCCAAATCCAATCTTTGCCAAACCTGGAAGGCGGGTGGAGGAGAGCCTGCTGAAGACTCCCTGTGAGTCTCTAACTTATGGGGGGCTATTCTGCCACCTTCCAAACTCACAAATGGAATGAACAATGAACCGGTTCGGGAAACAGGGAAAGTTAATGAATGTTCATGATTTGTGTAATCAAACGAACCACCACAACCCACCATTTTCCCGGTTTGTGCCTATCCCTAGTTGCCATCTCTCTAGCCTCAGATGACCAGGGCACCCAAAGCAGGGCCGCTGAATAAGATTGTAACAGTTTGGTAGGTTTGTAAAGAAACAGACAGTCCTCAAGGTATGCAGGTTGCCAGCTCCTTATTCAAACTGGCCTCTTTTTCAAGCCACTGTCAATAAATAGGTCAAAAATCCAACTCTGAAGAAAGGCTAAAAAGCCAAACACCTTCATACTCAAAACCTAGTATTGCACAAATAGGCTCACTTAACGAAACACTACCACATGTCTTTTCTGCATCTGCATGCATACAATACCCACAAATCTCACTATACTCTGTTGCAGGGAGCAGGAAAACAACTGGCAATTCTGGGTTGGGGTTGGGGGAGCAGGATCTGTCACGCTGAACTCTTATTTTTCAGCACAGTGAGGTTTTAGCCCTTATGACGGCAAAAGTGGGCTTGGAAATATAACATCAACAGTCAGAGCAGGGGGTTGTGGGATTTTTAGTGGCAGCAAAGGACAGGGTTGTATGGCAACCCTGCCTTGTTCAGGATTTTTTTAAAGCCCAGAGTTTGTGTATGTGTGTTGAGTGATGTCAAGTTGCTTCCGACTTATGGCAACACTATGAATTAATGACCTCCCAAACCCCCTTAACTGTTGCTAAATATTCAGCTGCGGTGATTGCCTGTAAGAGGTTTGGAGTTTGATCTGTTCAAGACCTTTGAGTCAGAAGAACTGTAAGATAAGAAGAAAGATAATAATGCTAGGAAAGTTGAAGGCAGCAGGAAAAGAAGAAGACCCAACATGAGATGGATTCCTTTACTGGGTCAATCCATCTCATGTTGGGTCTTCCTCTTTTCCTGTTGCCTTCAGCTTTTCCTAGCATTATTACTGTTCTTCTGATTCAAAGGTCTTGAACAGATCAAACTCCAACCTTCTTACAGGCAATCACCGTAGCTGAATATTTAGCAACGGTTAAGGGTTTTTTCCGAACCTCACCTACATGGGAAAGAAAAGTGGACAATTTTTTGAGATTACTTTTTCCAGTGACTGTTGCCAGAGTTCATACAATCTTTTAAATACCCATTTTATTTTATTTTACTTAGAGAATTCATCTGCTGCCTCTCCAGAGAACTGCTGGAGACAGCTTACAAGTAAAAAACTAATAACATCAGAACAACAACATAAGTTCTCCACTTTAAAAAACCAAACTAAACAAACCATTGCTTTTTAGGCAGTTGTCTCCCATAGTGGGTCATGTTAATGAAGAGAAACAGGTCCCTGATCTGAGGCTTACAGACAACAGGAACAAGACACATAAAGGAAGCAGAGCAGAGGGGGGAAAGGAATAATCAGTTTGAAAATACCAGAACAAAGCTAGAATTCCTGTCCAGCTGTGGCCAGGCTGATCTTCCCATGTTGGTGTTTGTGCTTGGGTGGGGCTGGTACAACTATCCTGAGGTCCTTAGTCTTCTAGGGGTGACAGTGGGCAAAGCGCCCTTCCCTTCTGCATCTTGACAACATCTCTCTCCAGCCAGGGTGGGACGAGGAAAGCTCTCAGCAGCTGCTCACCCTCTAGCCAATAGCTGGGGGCTGGATGAATCTTCTCCTTGCCACAGTGTTCTTGCTGAGCAGGCAGGGGTGCAGCCTCCAGGCACCAGAGTCCTCTTTCCTGATTGTCTAGAATCTCCACCCCTCGCCTTCTGTAATCTCAGGACAACTCATCTATATATCTAATTCTCAAGTCGCCCCTTGGACTGTGCGGATACTTAAATCTGCACATCGGGGGGACCTGGGGGGCGGGGAGATTTTCGTGCACATTTGGGGCGATCCCCAGGTGTGCACAAAAATCTCAACAGTTGGAAAAAATATTGGGGGGATACTTAAATCCCCCCAAAACTAACCGTCCCCTGTGCATGCGCAGGGAACACTCTGTGAACTGCCTCGCCGCTGCCGCTACAGAGAAAGGGAGGGCAGGACAAGGCTTGGCTGGCACGGTTGCGTGTGAGCGGCCGGGCAGGCATGCCGGCGGGGAGACCGGCGAGCCCCGGCGGCGGAGACCGGAGCCGGGGGGGGACCAGAGCCGGTGGGGAGAGCGGCGAGGCCTCGCCACCGCTGCCGCCACAGAGGACGGAAGGGCAGCAAAAGGCTTGGCTGCCGGGCGGGCGGGAACCGGCGAGGGCCAGCGGCCAAAAGCCCG